TTATTAATAAATAAATAAAAAAATAAATAATTATAAATAAAATATATAAATTTAGTAATATACTAGCTAAATTAGTAAAATAAGAGAAAAGAGAAATTCTATTAAGAAATTATCTATAGCTAAAATAACTCAAAATAATCAGATGACTTTTCTTGGCATGATCAGGTGTTGTGACGCAGTAAGTCACATGTGGCATAGTATGTGATGTAACAATAATCTGCAAGATAAAAGATAAATATACTATAATTATTAATAACTAATCTAATATTGTTACAAAAAGATATATAATAAAAATGTTTATATTAAATAAATTCTAATACCTAATAACTTAATTAAATAAAACAGAATTAAAATTTTATTTTGAAAAAATAATTTATTAATATTTATCTAATGTATCAATCTTTTTTTTTAAATAAGTTAATTTTTTGATTTTTCAAAAAATAAAATTAATTAATTATTCTTGTTTTTAGCATTAAATTTAAATTAAAAAAATAAAACAAGAAATAAATTTTTTCTCTTAAAAATAATATTAGTTATGAGTTAATGTAAAAAGATTTATATCTTAAAAGAAAAAAAAATAATTATTGTAATATAAAAATAATACACAATGAACAAAATTAATCTATATTTACATATTTAATAGTATATATTTATAAGTTTACATCTTCCAAATTTTATTATTTTCTAATACTTCCTTTTCAAAAAAAATGAAATAATATATTACTAATAAAGAATGAAAAATTGATGATAATTAATACTTATAAATGCTTCTTCAAGACTACTTTAGATCACAATCAATAACAGAAACTTATATTATACAAGTGAATTATCCTGATATTGAATATTACAGAGAGTATAATTGAAAGTATAATAACAAACTGATACTAGAATAATGATAATACTTTTTTGATACATAAAATTCTTGAATAATCTAAATTACAATCAGATAAGAAGATCAAAATTCTTTTACAGAATTATATCATTAAAAATAATAATACTAATAGATAAATTTTAATTTAATTTTACAAATAATAGTTTCTTTCTGAATATAAATACATATTTTCTAAATAGTAACTTATTTAAATATTATATTATTTGGATTATTATTACAATTAGAAAGAATATAAAAATATTTTTCATAAGTTATCAAATAATATTACATTCTATTATTATTATATTTGTCACTATATGTCTAACCTAGAAGATAAAAATAATATTTTGTATCATCTAAAAGTTTTTCTTAATGAGTTATATTATTATTTAAATCATATACATTTCAAAATGTGACTTTCTCAAAAAGATATTGTCTTAATATAGGAATATGATCTATTGTTAGTAATCTTTGATATAATTATTGTGTTTTGAAATAGCTCTATCAACAAGATACATAATGAGTTTATTTCAAATTCTATTTATCTTTGAAATCTTGTAATCAAATCTCCAGAAACTTGAGGATAAAAATAAGATAATACTAAAGAATAAGATAATATTCTGAACATTATTAAAAATGCAAATATCATTTCAAATCAAATCAATTATCATAAAAATTTTAATACAGAAGTTTTTGAAAATCTTTTTAAATCTTTATCAAATAATTAACAAAAAATATAATATAACAAATATTCATATGGTTGATGTATATTTATTACAAGTGACAAATCAAGAATATTTCAATATCAGTCACAAAAAAAAAGAAATAATCAACTGGCTCACTAATTATCATATCTCTTTTTTAAATGAATTGTGCAAATCTGAATTACTTGAGCTAGTAAAGAAGAATAAGAAACAGATTTCATTTGCTTCTATCAAAATAGCTAAACAATATAATCACCAAGTTTTTTTTACTCCTTCTTATCATTGTGAACTTCAGTCAATTGAGAGTGTATGAACAGTAGTAAAAGGTGAGATAGCAAGATCTGGTCCATATTCAAATCTATTAGCTATTAGAAATATACTTCTGTATGCTTTTAAAGAGAAAATAAATTCATGTGTAGTGGTTGGATTATGGAGAAGGGCATTTACAAGAGCAAAAGAATATAGAGAGACTGATGAAAATGTAGTTTTATTAGATAAAGAAAGTGATGATAATGATAATTTTGATAATGATAATGAATTCTAATATAATTTTTATATTGTAATATTTTCCAATACATATTAGTTTTATTTCATAAAAAAACTAAAAAACTTATATATGTAGAAAATTTTTTTATTAATCATAATCTGAGGTACAAATCTTTTTGCACCGATCCATAATAATATATAGAAAGTTTATTATCATTTCTATATTTTTTTTAAATCTTTTTCTTATTTTATAATATATTCTTTAAAATACTTACTATATTTATTATAATTACATTATAACAATTCAAATACATATACAATCTCTATAATATAAAGTCAGAGTTCTATTAACCTCTGCTTTAATCAACACATTTTCAGTTATTTTTTATTTTAATATTAAAATACCATTGGATCTCTTATAAAACTTGCTAATATCTTTGAATTTAATAGGTAAGTTTTGAAAAGTCGCAATAAAAATTTTTATTTAATTGAGCTAAGCCATAACAGATGATTGCCAAATCGGATATTTGGTGTTACCTGTGACCTTACTGACAACGCTTCTATTATCTTTATTGCAATGAACAATTTACCAGATCAAATTGTGCTTTTCGGTGACTCGCTTACTCAGGTACAAACAATAAACTTACTATCTGATTATCCGAATAATATTAATGATTTATGATTATTAGCGCAGCTTCGATGCAAATAATAATGGATGGGGTGCATTATTACTCAATGCGTATGTGCGTAAACTAGATGTCTTCAATCGGGGATATTCTGGTAATTAGTTTACAAATAATAGTGATAATGTCTATAGTATAAAAATTTATGCCTTTTGATTTAAGGATACAATACCAAGTGTGCAAAATACATTCTCCCACAACTCCTTCCCACTTCATCGTCTTTGTCACCAAAAATCCGACTACTAATAATATTCCTTGGCGCAAACGATTGTGCAATTCCACCATCATTTCAGCACGTGCCTCTCCAAGAATACAAACAAAATTTGGAATGGTTAGTAGACCTAGTCAAAAATCCCGAATCAAAATATTATTCGCCAGAGACACGTGTTTTATTGGTCACGCCTCCCCCATTGGACAATGATGCTTGGGAGAAATTTTGTCGTGAGCAAGAAAGAACAAGATTTCCGCGTGATGTTACGTTCACGAAATCTTATGTGGATGCTTGTAAGGAGGTTGCGTTGCGAATTGGTGTTCCGTGCGCGGATGTTTGGTCTGGTATTATGAATAGGTTAGGGGAAAGGAAAATTGATGAAAATGGGAACATGAAGGAGCTAAAATTGACCGATTTTTTGTGTGATGGGCTGCATTTGGGTGGACTTGGAAATGAGGTATTATGTATTTTTATTTCTTGTGATGAAATGCGAATACTAAGATAAAATTTTTTTCTTTTTCTTCAAAGACCATATTCAATGTAGTTTTGGATTCCATTCGAAAGAATTGGCCAGAACTTGATCCTGAGAAATTACCATTAATTCTTCCTGATTTCTTGTCTCTAGATATGGAAAATCTTGAAGAGTGTTTGAAATTTCCATTCAATGAAATTTCAAAATCTTAAAAATTACTTCATTTATTAACTATTTTTTATTATTTTATTAAATATTTCATGTAAGTTAACTTTCTAATTTTTTTATTATACTTATTTTATTTTTCAAATATAACAAAAATTATTTATAATTATATATAATAAAATAAAACTTTTATAAATTTTTTTACTTTTCATGAAGTATTAAAAAGTAAAATTCTGAAAGAAAGTATTATTCTTATTTAATAATTAATATAATTAAATTAATAAATATCAAATATTTTTAATAATTTAATATTTTTAGTATTATATATAAAATATTTATAAATTTTAAATAGTAAAAGTATATAAAGTCAAATTTATTTAGTTATTATTCTTGAAAAAAGCAAAGTGATTATAAAAAAATATAATTATAAAGAGATTATTTTAATTATAATTCTTAAAATTAAAAAATTTATATAATTATGAAAGATATAATTATAAAAGATTTGATTATATAAAATAATTTATATATTATTAATTAAATTTAATATATTATAACTAAATTAATTAAATAAATTATTTTATTATAATAATAATTTTTTATTATAATTTTAAAGTTTTGCTTAATATTATTATTATTTAATTTATAACTCTTAATAAATAAATTTATTTATTAATTTTTTTAAAAATATTATTATTATATAATACTTATTTATTTATTAATAATAAAGTTTTATTTAATTATTTTTTAGTAATAAATAAAGATTTATTAACTTAATAAAATTTTATATAATTTTAATTTAAAATAAATATTTTATTAAATTAAAATTAGAATTAAAATTAAAAATTTTATTAATTAAAAGTTTTATTTTAATAATAAAAGTATTATATTTAAAAATTTATTTTTTAATTTATATTTAAATAAAATTTTTATAAATTTTATTATTAAATAATAGCTAATATTTATTAATTTAATATAATAAAATTATTAAATTATTTAAATTATAAGTAAATTTAATTATAAATTAAAAAATATGCTATTTTTTATAATTATTCTTTATATAATTATAATTATACTTTTATTAATATTTTTAAGTTTCTTTTACTAAATTATTATAATAATACTTTTAAAAATAAAATTAAAAAAAATAAATTAATAATATTAATAATTTAAAAAAATTTATAAATAAATAAATAAATTCAAATTTTTATAAAAAATATTATAAATAATAAAAATTTATTATAAATAAAACTTAATTATATAATGAATAATTTGATTTAATATAAATTAAATATTTAAATTTAATTATATAAGTTTTATTTTTAATTTATTTTAATATTATTTATTTATTATTTATTATTTTTATTTTAATTTATTATAATTAAATCTTTAATTATTTATAATTATGTATTTTAATTATAATTAAAATATATTATATTTTTTATAATAATTTAATTCTAATTTTTTAAAAATTATAATTATAAAAATTTAATTATATTTTTAATTTTATTATAAAAAACTTTTTAAATTTATTTTAATTATTTTATATAAATATATATTATTTATTATTTTTTAATAAATAAATTAAATAATAATATATAAAATATATTAATAATATTAAGTAATCTTTATAATTATAAAATTAAAAAGTTAATTTTATTAATAAAATATAATAAAAATTTTTTTATATTAAAGTTTATAATTTTATTAAGAAAAAAAATTTTTAATTTTTATTATATTTTATTAATAAAATTAATTTTATGATTTTATACTAATTAAATTTATTATTAATAATTTTTTATTAGATTTATTATTCTTTTTATTTATAATTATAATAAAAAAGTTATATTTTAATTCTAATTATTTTTTATATATAATACTTATTATTTAAATTATTAAGTATTTATATTCTATAAATTAAATAAATTTTTTAACTAAGAAGTAAATTTAAAATTTAATTTATTAAAATAATTTAATATAATAAATTTAATAATAGTTAATATTAATAGTTTATAGATTATATTATATTATATTATATTATATTACTGTATTATATATAATTTACTATATTATAATTATTTGATACTATTAAGAGAAATCATATAATTAATTAAGTTATTTTTATTTTAAAAGATAATTCTCTATAAAAGTTTTATTTTTTCTTGTTTGTAATAATTTTGATTAGATTATATCTCTTTTAGCTCAGATCTTTATTTTATATTATCTATATAATAGATTAACTTCTATATTATTTTTCTTGATAATTAATTTTATTTTAAATACACAAATAATCATTTATATATTTAATATATTAAATTTAATATATTGTCATATAGATAATTATTATATATATTATAATTATTAATTTAGATTATTAATATTTTTAATTATATATATTATTAATATTTTTTTATTATTTTTATTTATTTTTTATTTATTATTTATATTTAATTTATTATATTTATAATTATTATTATTTATTAGATTATGATTAGTTGCTCTTTAGAGATGTAAATTAAGTTAATTAATTATATTTAACTATATATATTTTAAAAATAAAATTATTATTAATTTATTTAAATTTTGTATTTATTTCTTTTACTATAAATATGTTCTTTCTGTTTTGTATTTTTATTTTAAATCTGAATATTTTTAAATAATAAAAATAATTATAAATTATAAAATTAAAAACTATTTATATTATATTTTATTTTGTTTATAACTATTAATAAAATAATCTTATATTATTATATTAATATAGTTAGATATATTATCTATTTTATATTTTCATTTATAATTTTTATTTCTATATTTATATCTTTATAAGTATCTTTTAGAGATATTATCTTTTTAAGTATTATATATTAATAATTATATATAATATTAATTTATTTATTTAAAAATATTATTTTTATTTTGTAATAATAATAATAATAATTATTATTATAATAAAGTTTAAGTTTTAATCATAAATTCTTATTTGCTTTTAAATTAGTTTTTTATATAAATACTATTTTAATTACTTTATTATATCTTGAATTTTTTATATAAAAATTTCTGATATTTTATATTATATAATAAGAAGATTATAATTAAAAAAGATTTATTCTATTATTTTAATAAATTAAATTTTGAATTTACTTCTTAATTAAAAAGTTTATTTAATTAATATTTAATAACTTTAAATAATATATATTATATAATATATTATTTGAAATTATTAAAAGTTTATATTTTATAAATTAAATAAAATTCTTAACTAAAAATAAATTCAAAACTTAATTTATTAAATAAAATAAATCTTTTTTTAATTATATTAACAGATTAAATTTTTAATTTTATAAATAATTAGTATTTTATTATTATAATTTATATAATTAATATATAAATTAAAGTTTATTATTAATTGAAAAATATTTAAAATAATAATTATAGTTTGATCTTTCTATAATCACAACTTTAAAATATAAAAACTTATGACTATATAGAAATATAACTTATATAAAGATATTTTTTATTTTTTATATAATTATAGTTATATTAAAAAAAATAATTAGTAACTATAAAAAGATTTTATTAAAAAAAAATTTAATTAATAAAATTAATTATTCAAGAATAATTATATTGTTATCATTTTAAGATTATATGTATTGTAACCAATTAGCTTATTCGTGTGGCGCAGTAGACGTGGCGCAGCATATGGCGCAGCATATGGCGCAGCCGCAGCACGTGGCGCAGTAATCGCCGATCACTACTAAATCGGACGAATAAGTAATTTATATTAATTAATTTAATTTATTATTAATTCTATTTATAATTCAT